GAACTACATAGCAAGACACTGTCTCAAAAACCCAAAAAAGTAAAAAAATTCAAAACACTAGTTGAAGGAGGGAATGCCCCCAGAGAGCTAGGTAAGTCTCAACTTTCAGGAATAATGTCCAGCTGATAAGTGGAGAGGTGTGCAAAACAGTATTTGGAAACATGGAGGTAAACAAAGAGAAACAGAAGAACAGAAATAGATGGCTCTGGGGAGCAGACTGTGCGCTGCTTATTTATTTATTTACAGTACTGAGGATGGAACCCAGGGCCTTCACACTGAGCTCCATCTCCAGCCTAGCAATTTTTTTTTTTTTTTTCTCCAGTACCGGGAACTGAACTCACGACCTTCCGCTTGCCAGGCAGGCGCTTTTGCCGCTGAGCTAAATCCCCAGCCCCCTGCCTAGCAATTTTTTGAGACAGGGTCTCTCTAAGTAGCTAAGGTGCCCAGGATGGGCCCGAACTTGAGATCCTCCTGCCTCAGCCTCCCCATAGTGCTGGGATGACAGGCCTTGCCACCACGCCCAGCCCAGCTCGGTCACTGAAAGAGGGATGGGGGCGCGGCCAGGAGAGCAGACAGCCTGCCATCCAGGCACTCGAAGCAGGTCGCCTTGACAGAGGGAAGAGAGCGGGGCCCGGCAGCCTGCAGCTGGTGTCGCCAAGCAAGAGGTGAAGTTTTCCTAGAAAGAGCCAGCGTGCGTCCCTGATTTCCGGAGTCCCGAGGGAGGAGGAGAAAAGCTAAATTTAAAGACATGCTAATTGGGGCAGTGTGATCCCGCGGCGCTAGGGCTGAGGACAGAATGGGCAGGGACAGCTCAGGCCCCGCCCCGCCCCGCCCCATCGCACCCCTCCCCTGCTCCCTTGACCAGCCACCTCCTGCGCATGCGCCCTAAGCGTACCGTCTCCTGAGACCCGAGTGCCCAGCCCCGCCCCTTCCTGTGTCCCAGGCTGGGCTCCTGAGTTTTCCTGTCTGCAAAATGGGAACAACGACCGGGCGTGGTGGTGCACCCCTGTAATCCCCGCACTCGGGAGGCTGAGGTAGGAGGATCACTGTGAGTTCGAGGCCAGCCTGGGCTACATAGGGAGTTCGATGCTAACCTGGACTACAGAGCAATACCCTATGTCTCAAAAAACTAAAAAAATAAAATAAAATAAATTTTAAAATGTGCAACGCCTGCCTCTCAGGTGACAGACGCTGCTCCTGAACTCCTCTCACTATTTACAGGCTTTAAAAATATTTTGAAACCGTTCATGGTGGCGTGCACTTGTCATCCCAGCATTCCGGGAGGCTGAGGCAAGAGGCTCTCACTTCCAAGTCCAGCCTGGGGCAGTTAACCCCTTAGTGGGAGCATATCTCAGAATAAAATAAACCGGGCAGGTCTGAAGCTCTGTGCAAAGGGCCTGGGTTCCATCTCCAGTACTGCAGAGGTGGGGCAAGTCTGTTTTGAGGACTTACTAGGTGCCGGCCAGGCACTGCGCTCACAGTAGTGACCAGGCCCAGGCCCCTACCCTGGGGAAATGACGTTCAGGAGAGGATGCAGCCAGTAAACAGAACAAGTCTCCCTCCTCCTGGGCCTCCAGTCTACAGTTGTCTTCCAGGTTCTCCTGCTCCTGGGTGAATCTTGTGGGCACATTCCACACCCTGTGGTGAAGGGCCATATCATATGATCTTCAAAAGAGTCCTTAAAAGGAAGAGCTGGCCCCTTCTCTGCCGCTTCCTCCTTCCTATTGGCTGGGAAGGTAGATACATTGGGTGGAGCTGAAGCAGCCACGTTAGAGTTGGAAATCTGTGTGCTAAGAGAGCAACAAGATGGCTCATGTCTGGGTCTCTGACACTGCCCAGCCTGCAATTGCCTCTCTCAGTATGATTCATTTCCATCTAACTCAAGCAGGCGGCATTTCAGATTTTCTGTGCCATGCAAGCCAGGCTAATCTTAAAGGGTATGCTGTGTGATGTGCCTGTCACTCGGCTCCCTTTTTCACTACCTGTTAGGATTTGACGGCATTAGGCGAGGAGAAGTCAGCTGTCCAGCAGAGAGGTCTGCAGCCCGTTCTGGCCCCGGTCAGCTGTGTGACCATGGGCAAGTGCCCTCACCTCTCTGGGCCTCCCGTCATCAAAGGAGAAATTTGGCTGCAAGGACCTCTGGGAATTTGGTGAGCCATGGTCACGCAAACTGCACCTGTCCTAGGGAGGACAGGGGAGATGAGCGATACCTGGATGTGGGAAGGTGGAGCTCCAGGCAGGGAGCTCCCGCACCTGCTTGCTGGGGTGCTGGGAGGCCAGTGGAAGGAGAAGGGGTAGAGCTCTGGACATCAACCTGAGCTCGTTGGGCTCCATCCCACAGGTGCGAGGGAGCTATGGAAGGATCTAGAGCAAGGGAGGGCCCCAGTCACATTCCACTCCTTGGCTATGCAATGGAGAGCCGGTGACAGCAAGGTCAGAAGACAGAGGGTGGGCTGCTGGGTCACCAGCCTGCCAGGGACCTGGGCTGAGCAGAAGTCCAGTCTTAAGGTGCAGCCCTCCCCGCCCCATTCCTTCCGTCCAGCCCAGATCAGCGGGGGTGACAGCTAGGTGGCTAGAAGCAGCATAGTGGAATCTTGGAGATTCAAAGATTCAAGATTTTCAATCTTGGAGATTCAAAGTGGCCAGTTCTTGGTTGCATCCCTGGATGGGGAGCTCACTCCCTCAGATAAATTACAGCCTCAAGTCTGTTTTTAAGTCAGGCACGGCTCAGTGCCCTTCGTGCACACCCGGGGATGGAGCAGCTCCCGGTGCCCCAGGCCAGCGCTCAGAGGTCTGGGAGCCGGACGCTAACACCCTGGGTTCCTCTGATCATGCCTTCAGGGTGGGACAGGGACATCTGGGGTCCTGGGAGGGCTGTAGGTGCATATCTGGCACCAACAAAACCCATTTGCAGTCTGGCGTGGGGACCCACGTCTATCATCCCAGTTCTCAGAGGCTGAATCAGGGAGATCATTGTAAGTTCGAGGCCAGCCTGGGCTCTGAAGTGAGTTCAAGGCCAGCCTGCACTACATAGCGACACCCTGCCTCAGGAAAAAAAAAAAAAGAAAAAAGAAAAAGAAACAAAATGAAAAGAAAAAGAAAAATCAAGATCATCATTTGCAGAGAGAAAAACCTGACCCCTTCTGCGCCCTTCCCGTCTCCCTAGCTCCCAAGGAGACAGGAAGAGCGGTCTGGCTTCTGCACGCAGTCTGCGGTGACCCGAAGCCCCTCAGGCCCCTACGAGCAGAGAGGGCGCCCCTCCCGCACGCAGCGTGGCCACGCCCACAGCAGGCCCGCGGGGTTGGGTTTCCGCTCTCTTTTTTTTTTTTTTTTCCTCTAGCCGCTTTTGGGCAAACGGTAGGAGCTTGCCATGGGCCATAGGCCCTGGGCGACCACACAGTGATAGCTGCCCAGTCCCCAGCCCTTTTGGGGGATCCACGGCTTGGGCCTCCCCAAAGCTCGCTCCCCGGAGCTGTGGGCGCTGAAACCCGGCTGTAGGGAGCCCCGTGCGGAGCTATGGCCCTGCGGGCACCCCTGCCAGTGGAGGGAAACCACCACTACAGAACTATCTCTGGCCACTGCTGCAGGTGTCTGTGTCGATTTTACCGTCCCCACCCCTCCACTTGATTCATGGGTAGCACAATTGGGATCAAGTGTCGCATTATCTCGACGCACAGGTTTCTGGGCCCTGCTGCGTAATATTCCACTAAATGTGGTGCTCTGGAGTTCTGTGATTGGACCTCTGTTCCAAGACTGAAGGGATAGGCAGAGTCAGCGTGCACTGGCAGCTGGGCATGATGGCGCATGCCTGTGATCTCTGTGATCCCTGAGGAGGCTGAGGCAGGAGGATTTCAGTTCAAGACCAGACTGGGCAATTTAGTGACTTAGTGAGATGCTGACTCAAAATAAAAAATAAAAAGGGCTGCAGGGGGTGCTCAGTGCAAAGGCCCTAGGTTCCAGTCCCAGCACTAAGATTAATAATAAATAACGGGAGGCTGAGGCAGCAGGATCGTTGCAAGTTCAAGGCCAGGCTGGACTACAAAGTGAGCTCAAGGCCAGCCCGAATTACATAGCGAGACCCTGTCTCAAAAACAACAACAAAAAATAAATAAATAAAAAACACCTAAAAAGGTGCAGGATTCCTGGGCATCTGGGTCCCCTGCCAACCTCTGTGTGCTCCGTCTGTGTCACTGACGGTTCCTCCTGAGCACCATGAGCTGTGGTTGGCTGAGCCATCTCTGTGGCCAGGCCCAGGGCGGTGTCCATCAAAGGAGCGCGAACTTTGCCCCAAATTCTGTTCCTGGTCATGATGATGATACCTGTGAGGGCTAGCATTTTGGGGCGCTACTGTTCAGTGCCAAGCACCTACAGAACTCTGCCGCAGGTCCTAAAAGGAGTGAGGCTGAGGGCGTCAGAACTGCAGAATGGGAAGGGTCCTCTGGGCTCTGTGGGTTGCTTACCTCCCCAGACGGGCAGCTCACCCCTCCCTCTACCCAGCCCTTGCGCGCAGACTCGAGCGCGCACTCGTGCACCACCTGCTCCGCTATTCGACACCACCCTGGTCCAGCTCCCTGGGGTGGATGCCGGTGCGCGCCCTGCGGCGCCAAGGCCAGGGACCCCGAGTGTTCCTGAAGACCCCGCCCGGCCCGCGCAGGAGGCACCGGGGACCGTGGGGGTGGGGCGGGGAGGGGCCGGCGACAGCGGCGGCGGCGGCGCGCGGAGCGGACCGCAGTGCGGCCGGCGCTAGGACCCGCGAGGGCTCCCAGGCCGCGGCGCCTCCGGCTGCCCCCCGCCCCGCCACCACCCCCCAAAATGAGGAAACGCAGCGGCAACTTGATCCAAGTTGTGCAGCCTGGGCCCCCTCGGGGTGTGCAGCCGGCTAGCGGGGTCCCCTCCTGGGGGCGGTGGCGGGGCTCTGCCCGGAGGCGCCCCCTGAGCAGGTGAGCGCGCGCCCGGATGGGAGGAGACGCCCCGCGGTGGTGGGGACCCCCAGGGCTCAGGGTGTCGGTGGGGGACCCCACCAGGGTGGGTGCGCGGTCCCGATTCCCGGCGCGTGCATGTGGGCTGCGCGCGACCGGCCGGGTGGGGCTCACACGCCAGGTGTTGGAGCGCGGGCCAGGTGCGCGCGTCCCTTGGTGTCGGCGGCGCCGAGCACGCGCACCTGCCTCCAGGTGGCTTTCGCGGGCGCGCGCAGGGGGGGCCGGGCGTGCTCTGCGGGTGCGCGCGTGTGTACGCTCACCGCTGTGCGTGAGGACGCGCGGGCCGGGTTGCTTTATGGGGGCGCCCAGTCGAGGACAGGATTGGGAACTCACTGCCCCCCACCCACACCTTGCCATTGCCCTGGGGACATGGAGAGGCAGCCAGGGGCCCTCAGCCCCGTAGCGGAGGACTTTGGTGCCTGGGTCCTGGGCAGGGGGAGTCACAGAGGTTCCTCTGGGGGACCGCGGAGCCAGTAAAGCTGGGCCGCTGCCGCCCGCCCCCTCCGCGCCCTGGGGTCAGAGGTTCTTGGGAATGACCTTGACTCATCTCTGTGTCCACGGAGCCCGGCCACTGACCAGGAAAGAGGAAGAGTCGGGCTCAGTCAGGTGGCACCCAGCTCCCCGCACTGCTGGTGGCGGGCCCGGAGCCAGCCATTTCCCAACCCCGTGCCAGCCTGGGACCACTGCCTCTGTGCCTGTCTCGTGCCTCAGTTTCCCTTTGAGGCAATGGCGGGGTGAGGCTCTGTGGCTTCCTGGTGGGCATTTTATGTCTGTGCCTGGCTAAGGGATTTCCCTAGGTAAGATCACTTCCTCCAGCGGGGCTTGCTTTCTCGGAGCTGCCGTCCCCACCTCGCCGGCCTGGGTGGGAGGAGCGCCCCACCTAGCCCTCCGCGGGACCTGTCCCCTCCCCAGGTGAACCCCGCTTTCCCCGCGCCTGGCGCCTCTGCCCATCACAGCGAGGATGCCAACGGTGAGTAGCCAGCATGGGCGCCCGTGGCTCCACCCCAGGGAGGGCAGAGCGCTGACCAATGCGCCACCTCCCCCCGGCCTTGGTCCTGGACCCGTGTGCTGGGACTCGCATTTCTTAGGGGCTCTCTCCCTGACCTCTCCGCGTGCTCTGCTCTGTGCCCCTCCCGCTCTCGCCCTCCCTCCGCTCTGCTGCGCCCGCCTCTCCTGGATGTTCCCCCACCTCCTGCCCCTGCACCCCCAGAGGCGCTGGGCCCCCGGCACCCAGTGCATCACCAAGTGCGAGCACTCGCGCCCCAAGCCGGGGGAGCTGGCCTTCCGCAAGGGCGACGTGGTCACCATCCTGGAGGCCTGCGAGGTGAGGACGCGCGAGCGCGCGCTCGCCGGGTTGGAGGGCCGCGCCAGGACCCCGAGCGGACCCCCGCCCTGACCCCGTGTCCCCCGCAGAACAAGAGCTGGTACCGCGCCAAGCACCACGCGAGCGGGCAGGAGGGGCTGCTGGCGGCGGGCGCGCTGCGGGAGCGCGAGGCCCTGTCTGCGGACCCCAAGCTCAGCCTCATGCCGTGAGCGGGGACCGGGCGGGCCCGGGTGGGGGGCGAGGTGGGGAAGTGGTGTCCCCAGCCCGGCCCACGCGTCCTCTCGGCGCGGCCGCCGCAGGTGGTTCCACGGGAAGATCTCGGGCCAGGAGGCGGTGCAGCAGCTGCAGCCGCCGGAGGATGGGCTGTTCCTGGTGCGGGAGTCCGCGCGACACCCGGGCGACTACGTGCTGTGCGTCAGTTTCGGCCGCGACGTCATCCACTACCGCGTGCTGCACCGGGACGGGCACCTCACCATCGACGAGGCCGTGTGCTTCTGCAACCTGATGGACATGGTGGAGGTGGCCCGGGGGGCGGGGCCCCCCAGAGGCACCTCTTCCCCAGGTGGAGGGCGAGGCCCCGCCGGCCGCCACCAGGCCGCCCTGATTCCACCTCTCGGGCTGGGGTACCTCCTCTGGGCACCCTCACAAGCCTCTAGTTGACTCCAGTCCGTCCCCCAGAATCCATCCTGCATCCTTTCCTGTTCCCATGGAAACCGGCCCACCGTGGCAGGGACCCAAACCCTTTCTGACTCCCCTGCTTCTGCCCAGAGACCCCCCCCCCCTGGAAGGGATGGGCGCCAGGGCTCCCTGTTCCCCACCAGGCTCACAGCCGCCCCACCCTGCCCCCAGCATTACAGCAAGGACAAAGGACCCATCTGCACCAAGCTTGTGAAGCCCAAGAGGAAACAGGGCACCAAGTCGGCAGAGGAGGAGCTGGCCAAGGGTAAGTCACCCCGGGGCAGGGCCAAGGCCTGTCTGTGCCCCCGAGCCCGTTTGGGGGCCCCTCGTGGCAGAAGGTCGCTGGCAAGTTCACATAAGCCCCCTGTGGAACCGACCACGCACCGGCCCCTCCTGTGGCCCGGTCACCCATAAGCCAGGACCTGGCACCACAGCCCACCCTCCCAGGCCTTGCACGCAGGTCCCTCACGTCAGAGACCTTCACACCACTGAGTGCCCGCCCCGCCCCAGCCCAGCCTCACACCCTACCAGGATCCCCACTCTTCCCGAAGGCGCCCCCCTTCCAGCCTGGCCCCTGCACCAGGGCCCAAAGACATCTTTCTAGCATGAAAATCCATCCTTGTGATCCCCATGCTCAGAATTCTGTGGCCGCTACATTTCCAGGCTCCTCTCTGAAGCCCTTGCTCCATGCCCCATCCCTAGGTCAGTCATGGCAACCCCATTTCCCGAATGCCTCTGAACCGTCGTGTGTTCTGTTCCCTTCCCTTGAAGTGCTTTTCCAGCCCCTGAGTTGTGCAGTGCTCACGATTCAAGGCCAAAAGCGAGTGCTCGCCCTTCATTCCCTGGCCATACCCACGCCTTTCCAGGCTGATGATGGTGTCCCCCGGGGCCATGTCTTTCCCAGGAAGGTCTAGGTGCTGGGGACAGCAGCTAGGGGAGACCAGTGTGTACCACGCCTGGCCACAGCCTCAGAACTTGAGTTTTGCAGGGGGGTGGGGGGGGGCCTGCAGAAGCCGCTGCAGGGAATGGGGTGCTTGAGAGAACGGCATGGAGGCGGGAGCCGGGTGCGATTCCAGACTTGGAAGGACACAGGGGTAGATGTGATCCTTCTGACCAGCTCTCCACTCGCAGCTGGCTGGCTCCTGGACCTGCAGCACCTGACGCTGGGCGGGCCCATCGGAGAGGGGGAGTTCGGAGGTGAGGGCGCGGTGGGAAGGACGGCTGCCGGGGAACAAGGCTGAGTTCAGACCCATCTGCGTGGTTATGAGCTATGTGGTGGCAGCTGCGCTCCAACCTCTGAGCCTCAGTTTCCCAGCTTTCGCATGGGAGTGGGGTGGTGGGAGTCCTGGGGAGTGAGTTAACCTGCTCGGGCCCCAGGCGATGTTAACAGCTTCCCCCAGCGGCCAGACTCTCCCACTTGTGGTCTCTGCTTGCCTGAGATCATTATTTTTTTTCCCCCCAGTGCTGGGGATGGAATCCAGGGCCCTTACAAAAGTGCAGTACATCCCCAGCCCTCTTTATTTTTTATTTTGGGACCGGTCTCCCTAAGTTGCCGAGTTGCCCAGGTTGGTCTCAAACTTGCCATCCTCCTGCCTCAGCCTCCCAGAGTTCCCCACCATGCCTGGCTCTGAATGATTTAAAAACATACAGCACTCTGGGAGACTAAGGCAGGAGGATTTCAAATTGGAGACCAGCCTGAGCAATCTAGTGACTTAGTGAGACCCTGCCTCAGAATAAAAGATAAAGAAAAGAAGGGCTGGAGTTGTACCTCAGTAAAAAGGTCCTGAGTTCAAAAGGAAAAGTAAAGGAAAAAAAAAACATTCAAACCACTCGGAGACCCAAGGCTTTGCAGACAGCAGCCAGGGCTTGGACTGGCCCTGGGCCTGGGCACCTGCAAACCTCTGGCTTTCTGCCTCTCTCAGGGCCGGGTCTGGGGCCCTGGGGCCCTGGGGCTTGTTTCTGGGTTCCAACCCCGCAGCCACAGTGGGACATTCGGTCTGGGGGTGCACAGATGTATCCATGTGTCCTGTGTGCCCTGGTCCTGACCTCTGTGCCCCGCGCCGCAGCCGTCCTGCAGGGCGAGTATCTGGGGCAGAAGGTGGCGGTGAAGAATATCAAGTGCGATGTGACAGCCCAGGCCTTCCTGGACGAGACGGCGGTGATGACGTGCGTGCCGGGGTGCAATCGGGTCGGGGCGCGGTCCGGATCGGCCCTCACCCCCCACCTGTGCGCCCTCCCCCAGGAAGCTGCAGCACCGGAACCTGGTGCGGCTCCTGGGCGTGATCCTGCACCAGGGCCTGTACATCGTCATGGAGTACGTGAGCAAGGTGCGCCGCGGGCCGGCGGGCGGGCGCGGGCGGGCGCAGGGGCGGCGGGGCCCATGGCGTCCACCCACCCACAGGGCAACCTGGTGAATTTCCTGCGCACGCGGGGCCGCGCCCTCGTCAATGCCACTCAGCTACTGCAGTTTGCGCTGTGAGTGGGGGGCTCCCGCTGGGGAGGTGGGTGCCGAGCTCAGGGGGAAACTGAGGCACAGGGCAGGGAGGAGCCGGGAGCTTCCCGAGGCCCTTCCCCAGGCACGTGGCCGAGGGCATGGAATACCTGGAGAGCAAGAAGCTGGTCCACCGCGACCTCGCCGCCCGCAACATCCTGGTGTCTGAGGACCTGGTGGCCAAGGTCAGCGACTTCGGCCTGGCCAAAGCCGAGCGCAAGGGGCTGGACGCAAGCCGGCTGCCAGTCAAGTGGACTGCGCCGGAGGCGCTCAAGCACGGGGTAAGCCTCCCTGGGACCCTCCACCCATGCCCGAGGTTTCCAGGTCGTGCAGAGCCGGCTTGGGGCCCCGGCTCTGCTCTGTGACCCTCGGTATATCCCTGGGCCTCTTTGGGCCTCCAAGGGAAATGGCTGTGCTGCCTATTAAGCAAGAGCCCACGGTTATTCCTTCTAGCCCCTCTCCCGGCCTCAGTTTCCCCATCTCTGAAGTGGCCAGGGCCTCCGCCCCGTAGAGTCTGAGCTCAGCTCAACTGTGGAGGGCCTGGGGGAGGAGGTCTGTTGGGAAGAGACCAGAGAGGGAGGGTCAACCCAGGAGGGTGCCAGGGAAGAAGCAAGGGCTGGGTCAGAAATGTGCAGGGATCTGGGTATGGTGGTACCCACACCTGAACTCTCAGCACTCTGGGAGGCTGAGGCAGGAGGATCTCCAGTTGGAGCCCACCAGGGTGACTTAGCAACTTAGGGAGACCCTGTCTGGAAATAAAAAATTAAAAAGGGCTGGTGGTATACCTCAGTGTGCAGACCCTGGGTTCAATTCCCACTCCTCAAAAAAAAAAAAAAAAAAAAAAAAAAAAAAAAAAAAAAAGAAGGGGAACCGCAACTGGCTCTCCAATCCAACAGAAGTTCTCCAGCAAATCAGACGTGTGGAGTTTCGGGGTGCTCCTGTGGGAAGTCTTCTCCTATGGAAGGGCCCCATACCCCAAGATGGTGAGTGGGGTTGCCGGGGGAAGCCGGGGTCTCCGGGCTTGAACCGCTGCCCACACTCTCGCCCCGTGTCTACAGTCGCTGAAGGAGGTGTCGGAGGCGGTGGAGAAGGGGTACCGCATGGAGCCCCCCGAGGGCTGCCCGGGCCCGGTGCACGCGCTCATGGGCAGCTGCTGGGAGGCGGAGCCCGCGCGCCGGCCGCCGTTCCGCAAGGTGGCGGAGAAGCTGGCGCGGGAGCTGCGCAGCGCGGGCGCCTCGGCCCCCGGCGGGGGACAGGACGCCGACGGCTCCTCCTCGCCCCGAAGCCAGGAGCCCTGAGTCCCGAGGACCGAGGCGGCGGGTGCAGGGCCGGGTGCGGGGCTCAGGGCGGCCGGCGGAGGGCGCAGGCCGAGGGCGGAGGGCGATCGCCGCGGTAAAGACTGATTCCGAGGGGCAGCCTGTCTGCGTCTCTGTGACCCTCGCGCCCTCCACCCGGGGACCTCGTTCCGCATGCGCTGGTGGCCGCTGTCTGGCGCCCCTGGGTGTCCTGGGTCCTCTCCAGCCAAGTCCCCACCAAGTGGCGATCGGCGAACAGGGAGTGTGGGCCCCAGGTCCCCTCCCTCCTGCACCCATGTGGCCCACGCTGGGCCCCCAGCACTGCCTGTGACCCGGAAGCCACGCACCACCGCCGTGGGGACGCAGTTCCCTGGGGAACTCCTGAGGTGGGAGCTGCCCGCGCTGGCCGTGGGGACCCGCAGGACAGGGTGTTTAGGAGCTGAGGACGCCGAACTCATCCACCCACCCACCTGGCCACGGCCGGCCATCTTTCCCTCCACCCACGCAGCCATCGCCCCACCTGTTCGCCTCCACTCTCACCCCCTTCGCCCAGCTGACCCCCACTGAGCATGCGCTGTGCGCCCGGCCCTTCTGGGCACCGGGCACCCCGACACCCTGGTGGTACAGTTCACAGGTGACACTGTCCTTGGACAGAGGCCAAATGTCCAGGGACCAAGCGCCTGACCGGTGACTCTGGGGACAGAACTGAGGAGGATCGCTGTATGGCTTCTCATAGAGCAGGTCGGGTCCCAGGCAGGCGCCCCCAGAGCTCCATCCTGAGCCACAGAGGGCGTTTCCAGGATGTGGGACTTCACCGCTCAAAGTGGAGGGCGGATGGGCACCAGCGGGCCCCTCCTGGGCATGCCGCCCCCTCCTGGCATCTGGGCAGTGTCCACTGCGCAGCAGGCCTTTCCCAAAGGTGTGATGGGCTGGGCGCCCTGGGGCAGGCGGGCATACAGGTGGTGCTTGCCTGTGGCACTCAGCCCCCACCCAGTGGCCGGAAGACACCAGGAGAAGGTGCCGGGCCAGGCCAGCTCAGTCCCGCCCCGGCCCACGGGCTTTGTTGCTGTCACAGCCCCCGAGGCAGGTGAGAGACAGGAAAGGCTTGGTCCACGTGGCTCTGGGACCTGGAGGCTGAAGTCAACAGCAGGCTGCCAGCAGCCGCGTGGCAGAAGGGCAGGTGGTGGGGGCACAAGTGGCCGGGTGCAGTGGAGCACAGCTGTGATGCCAGCTCTCAGGAGGCTGAGGCAGGAGGATCACTGGGAGTTTGAGGCCAGCCTGAATAGCATAGGGAGACCCAGTCTCAAAAAAACCAAACCAAACCAAACAAAAAAGATTTCCCAAAGTCACACTGACCTCCCATGTCTTCTGGATGCCCCACCCATCCTCTGGCCTCAGTTTTCCCACCAGCACCCAAAAGGATCTATTGGTTCTTTCAGGGGGTCAGAGGACCAGTGTAGCCTAGCTGCGGGAGTCCTATCCGCCTCCCAGCCCTCTAAGCTGACAGCGTCTGCTCAGCTGGCTGAGTCTTCCAACCCTTGTGCCTCTGAACCCACCAGGGCAGAGCACTCCCTGGGACCTGAGACCAGGGTGGCCCCTGGTGTCGTAAAGGCTCTTGAGGGCCACCACTCCCTCACCCAGCCTCTGCCATGCCCTGCACAGAGCCTGGGGAGCCCCTTACGGGACAGGGCAGCTGAGGAAGGAGGAGGCACCCCACTCCTGTGGCCTCCAAGCTCCTCCCTGGGAAACTGCTTCACATCCCTGCTGCCCTCACCCACCCAGGCCTCCGGGCATGGTCGAAGCCAGCCCCGCCTCCTCCTGGCTCCCCAGCCTGCCACAGAAGACCTTTGTCCCAATGCCAATGGCAGTGCCTCCTGCACTATAACCCTCCAAGGCTCCCCAGTACCCTCCTCTTCGCATCCAGAGCCTGTAGCCTTGCGCTCCACCTCCACTCTGACTACTTTCCCTTTTTTAAAACAGCAACCCCAGCCAGGCATGGTGGCACAGGCCTGTCATCCCAGCATGTTGGGAAGCTGAGGCAGGAGGATCGTAATTTCCATCCCAGCCTGGGCAACTTAGTGACTTAGAGAGGCCCTGTCTCAAATTAAGAAAGGGCCCCAGGGTGAAGCTCAATGTGAAACCCCTGGGTCCAATCCCTAGTACTGGAAGAAAGAAAAAGAAGAAGCAAGAAAGGAGGGAAAGACAAAGAAAAGGAATGGGGAAGAAAAAGAAAAAGAAAAGCAACCCTGCAGCCCTGCTCTCCTGAGCTTCTGCCCTTGCACCCGATGAGGTCTTCATTTCAGTTTCAGTGCGACTGTCCCGCAGGGCCCCGAGGGCTTTGTCTGTTTTGTTCACTGCTGTGAGTGGTACCTGGAATACCAGTGCTCAATAAACGTTTCCTGAGTGAATGAGTGAGCAAGTGAGTAAACAGTGAACTTCTATCCGTGCCTCAAGTCCCTGAAGAAGCGCCCCTTCCCACCTGCCCTGGCCAATGTCCTGAGGAGCCAACTGGAATTCCTTTTGCCTTCCTGGGCTTTACCTCCCCAAACTCCTTTGACATCCCTGAGTCTAAAAGCAGTCTTTATCTGGCCCCAGCTGGTAAAAAAAAACACTCATCAAGCCCTCGCTGCGTATCAATCACTATCCAATGCTCTTTTTCTTTACCTCACTGAGAAATATTTTTGTTTGGAGATAGGCTCTCACTACGTAGCTCAGGCTGGCCTTGAACTCCTGGTGATCCTCCTGCCTCAGCCTCCCAAGCTCTGGGATTAAATGTGTGAGCCACCCGCCTGCTATCCTCATTGAGAAATTGTAAGATTCCCATGGAGTAGGTCCCAGTGTCACAGTTTAAAGCCAGGGAAACAGGCCCAGCATGGGCACCCTAGTGTCTCACCATGAGGAGCTGCAGCCTGCAGCAGCCCGGGCCCTCTGGTCACCCCTCCCTTAACCACCTGCAGCCAATCCTGGCCTCCCCGGGGTTCAGCAGCTGTGCTGGGCTGGGGCCCAGGATCCTGACCAGGGGGCAGGGGCCCTGGGCTGTATGCCTAGAGGGGTGTGGGGGCCCAGCGGGGGAGCACCCCTATCTCCTTTCTGGAGCTCTCAGCACACGAGACAGCTAGAAGGGGGCACCACGCCAGGTGCGGTGGTGCATACCTGCACTGATCCCAGCACTCAGGAGGCTGAGGCAGGAAAATTGCTGCAAATTTGAGGCCAGTTTGGGCTACAAAGCGAGAACTCTACTCAAAAAAGGCAGAAAGAAGGTGGAGACTGGGAACAGCATCGGAGATAGAGACAGAAAAAGCCACTGGGCTGTCGGGGGCAGAGGCGCAAGGCAGATGGCGTGAGGCCGACAGTCCCAGCCCGCGGTCCCTCTCGCTGTCCCACCACCCACTACCCTGCTGTCAGGGGAGGGGATGTGTTCCGGAGCCTGGGGGGAGGGGCAGTGGAGGCCCAGCTCGAGGGGGCCCCAAAGCAGCGGCCCCAGCACGACCACACGACCTTCACCACATCCTGGCTGACCCGGCTGGAGCTCGATCAACTCGCGCAGCCGCAAGGAGCTGGCAGCCAAGCGCAGGAGGCCGAGGCGAGAGTGCAGGTGAGGGCGCTGTCCCGGCGCCACACCTTTCACCCCGCGGAGAGTGGGAGGCGGGGCCAAACATGGGCCCGCCCTGTGCGTGGGCAGAAGATACGGGAAGGCTTGCGGGTTAACGGATCAAGGAACTGAGGTCTTAACATTTGAGTAGGAGTTTGCTGGCTGGAAAGATGTTTTTGTAGCCATCCATGACACTCATCTGCATGGCTTGTACCAGGCTGTGAGAATTTAGGATGGAGGTGCGTTCTGTGAGCCGCATGCAAGCCGGGTGGAGGCTGACACAGAGAATGGGGGCCTTGAGAGCTGGGGAAGGCCTTCCATGGCAAGTACAGGAGCTGAGGGCTGAGCGTGTAGACCCCGCCCCCCCGCAGGTGTGGTTCCAGAACCTGGGCCAAGTGGTCCCGCTGTGGGGCAGTGGCAGCCCCCAGGGTCCCTGAGGCCTCAGCACTGGACGGGACAGGGCTGTTCTCCGGCCCTCCGGCCAGTGCAGCAGCCCCTGGAGCCCTGGGTGGGGTCCGGGCCTCTCCCACCTGGGCCTGGGGCTGCGGGCAACCCAGGCACCCCAGACTTTCACACAGGCCTTTGTGGACAGCTTCGCATTGAGAGGTGCTGCTGCTCCTGGAGGAGGAGCAAGAGCAGCCCAGGAGGGGACCTGCCATGGGGGCTTGGTGGCTGAAGCATCTCACTTGGCTCTCGGGGCTTCTCGTCCCCCCAGGAATAACAGACGTCAGCACTGTGACATACACAGGCCCGGCCCTCCACCGCTCTGCTGTCAGCCCCACTGCACACGGAGGAAGCGGAGGCCGAGGTGGGAGAGGCATTTCCTGGAGCTGCAAGCCTGAGGCTGGACCGCCTCCGCTCAGGCCACAGCTGAGGTGCCCAGCAGCTCCCAGCGCAGGCCCCGCCTGTCCCGCCAGCTCACGTGGGCGGGCAGCCACCCACTCAAGGCAGGGCAGGGCTTTGGGGGCGCGGCCTCCGGGTGGGAAAGGCAATGCTGCTGGCCGGGAACCTGACCCCACCCAGGGACACCCGGCCTCACCCAGACCTCCTCTCTCCCCACTCCACCTGCACCCTGGGACCTGGGCTGGCCAGCCCACCCCAGTACATCACTGTCCATCTGTCAGTCCATCCATCCAGTACATCACTGTGCAGAAGCACTGGGTAGTGTAGTAAAAGACACGCACAAAGCATGGAAGATCAGAACGTCAGTGCTGAGTGTTAGAAAAAAACAAGCAGGGTGATGGTGTGGCCAGGGCTGCAGCACGACCAGGGTGGGTGTCAGGACAGCAGACACCAAGAGGGGTGACGGCAGACGCCGCGAGGGTGCAGGGGGGAGGGCGCTGCAGCCGCCATTTGCAGCCATGCAAAGGTCCTGGGGCAGGAGTGAGTCAGGCCAGCAATTCCTTTGTTGCTGGAGCAGTGGGAGATGACAGGACGGGACAGGGCAGGCAGGGCTGTGTCCCTGGTCACACTGGTTTTTACCTGACTGCTCTGGGAATGGTGAGAAGGCTGGGCCATCAGTGTAGGCCACAGCACGGTTCCCTAGGTTGCCACCACTTCCCTGGGATGGGACCATTAGCCTGACTTGCCGACGAGGACTGAGGGCCCCAGAGGGGGAGGACACTGGTAAAGTCTGCAGCACGGCACCTCCCACGAGGGCCCCTCCTTCCTAACTGGGCACCTCCAACCCACGGGCTTGGGCCTGGCCCCTAGGACAAGACGACAGGGTGGCCCAGAGAGGGCTGGGGGGCAGGGCCAGCTCCCTGGGCGCATGAGGCCCCTGCAGCCCTAGCCAGAAAGAAGGAAGGGGCACTTCCTCCTCGGCTCTGCTTGCTGAGCAGGGTGAGGGTGTTGGCCCGGAGTCCTGAGGCCACCCCTGCCCGAGAGCACCACCCACTGGGGGCCAAAAGGTCCCAGGCTCGATAGCCACAGATCCGAATCCTGAAGCACCTGGACCCAGCCGTGCCTGTGACACCAGCTCCGACAGCTGCGTCAGGTCTGAGCCACCTGCCACAGACACCAGCTTACCTTGGGCCTCCTCGACTCCCGGGCTGGGCTAGGCAATCCCAGGGGGCAGCCTGGACTCAGGTGCAGGCCAGGATCCACAGGCTGGAGGGGTGGGCTCCCCACTGCTGGCCCAACGTCCGACGCTGCCAAGGTGCGCCAGGGCTGCCGAGAGAGCTTGTCTCGTCTCTTTTCTTTTTATTGTGGCACTGAGGGTGGAACCAAGGTCCCTTTCGTTTTTTAATTTTTGGTACCAGGAATCGAACTCATGACCTTGCACTTGCCAGGCAGGTGCTTGTGCCACTGAGCTATATCCCTGGCCCTGACCCTTTTATATCTGAGACAGGGCAACAGGCTCTCACTAAGCTGCTAAACTGCACAGGCTGGGCTTGAACTCACCCTGCGCCTGCCTCGGCCTCAGAAGTGCAGCCTGCACCCAGCCTAGATGTCCTTACTGGCCCGGGGCTGCTCTAGCCTCACTACAGGGCCACCACCCCCATGCTGGGGCCTCCTTCGGTCCTGGCAAAGTCCATTTTCTCCCTGAAAAGAGTCCTTGGGGAGCAAGGGGACACCGCGCCCTCCTGGCCCATTAGAACTTCCTGTTCTTGTTCAGCCGGTTTTCCCGCCAGATGTTGTGTTTCCGAAGCAGTCGCCAGTACTCGCGGGTGTCGGGGTCCAGCTCCTCCAGCTTCTTGGGGGGGCCCACGTTCATCTGGAACAGCCTGACGGGACGAGGGAGGGGATCAGGGCTGCACAGCCCCTGAGGCAGAGGTGGTCATGGGGCTTCTCTACCGCACCAGTTTCAGTTCTGCCCCGGGGCCTTTGCACAAGCAGAGCCCACTCAGGTCCTGGCTCAGGTGTCACCTCCCCAGGGAAGCCCTCCTGAAACCTCAGACCTGATCAGCTGAGCCTGTCACCTCCCTACTGCCCTTCTGAGACGTGTGGTCCCCGCATCTGCCTCATCCCCAGGCAGCTCCACAAAGGGGGGATTTATGCCTGCTTTGGGCCCCTCTCGATCGCAGGAGCCTAGACAAGGACCTGACACAGCCAGGGCTCCATACAGACAAAAAGAGAACCGCACTTCAGGGGCTCCCTGTGCTCCAGTCTCATCCTCTGCCAGGCCCCCCATGGAGCCAAGATGGCCAGGTGCCACTTCCTCCCTGGACAGGGAGGGCGCCATAGGCACTCACCAGTCTGGGTACTCAGCATCCGGCTTCAGGACCACATCCTGGCCCTCCTTGTAGATGTTGACGCCCATGGCGTGTGTGGTGAGGCGCACAGGGTCTGTGCACACATCTGGGTCCTTCAGCGCCTCGCCAACCACACCGCCTTTGGCGCCTTTGACGCCCTTGAATCCCTTCATGACTGCAGGGAGGAGAGCAGGAGTCCTTTCAGCCTGGCTCCACCCCAGAAAAACCACCTTTCCATCCCTGTCTCCAGGTGCCCTTGGGCCTCGGCCTGACTGTCCTCTACAACGTGACTGTGTATGAAAAGACCCAGCATCAAATTCCCTTTTCAATTCTGGCCGGGTGTGGTGGCACACGCCTGTAATTCCAGCACTTAGGAGGCAGAGACAGGAGGATCTTTGCGAGTTCGAGACCAGCCTGGGCTACAAAGTGAGCTCAAGGCCAGCCCGAACTGCATAGGGAGACCCTGTCTCAAAAACACACACACACAAAAAAAAAATTTCTATTTTTAAAAATTTTGTTTTCAGACAGTCTCACTACATAGTCTAGGCTACCCTCAAAGTTGGGTCAATCCTCCTGCCTCAACCTCTTAAAGTGCTGGGCTGGGATTATGGCCATTCACCACCATGCCCAGCTTTCAATTCTATTTTGATCTTACAGAGAAAGCTTCCATTGGCTTCAGGTGTTTTTTTAATGTTTGCCTATTTTCTTCTTCCAACAGAGAAGATCAGGCGAGGCTGTATCCAGCTAAAAACTTAATAACTAAAGTTTAATATTTTGGCCAAATGTGGCCGCAAATACCTGTAATCTCAGCACAGGGAGGCTGAGGCAGGAGGATCACCTTGAGTTCAGGCCAGTCTAGGTTACATAGTGAATTCAAAACCAGGCTCAATTACATAGTGAGATCCTGTCTCAAAACAACAACACAGGCCGGGCGTCGTGGCGCACGCCTGTGATCCCAGCACTCGGGAGGCTAAGGCTGGAAGATCGTTGTGAATTGGAGGCCAGCCTGGGCTACAGAGTAAGTAGAAGCCTCAACTGCATAGTGAGACCCTGTCTCAAAAACAGACCGAAAGAACTCCCAACAAACAAACTTAAAAAGGCCTCACGTCTTTCTCCAATTCCTGGGTCACACTGTGATTTGGAAGCAGGAACGTATTGGAACCTAAATTCATGACATTCCTCACTTTACAAGCCCTACCACCCCGCGCCTGCGCAGTAGAACGCGTTTGCCCACCGTAAATGCAAGCAGAGTCCCGGCCGCTCAGGTCCAACCTGGCGCTTGCGCTCTGGCGCTTCCCAAGGCTGCTCCGAGACAGGCGCCTGCGCAGTAACCCTAAACTACACCTCCTAAACCAGCGCCTGCGCACTACCAATCTCACGCCTGTCCACCTTCCCCATTCTTGGTCCCTCTTAACGCAGGTCACCTGGCTTCTTGGCATAAGCTCGAACCAAGAATCTTCCAGTGGCGACGCGGTCTGAGAGGTCCCGGGGATCCCAGGCACCCCACGTACGGGTAGCCATATAGAGGCGTCTGGCCGCCATGACGTTTGTCGACTGCTTGCACGCGCACGTTTCCGGGAGAGAGACGTCACAGGATTGGGTGGGTGAGGTGCTTTGGGAGTTGTAGGCTTCCAGGGACTTCTGGGAAGTGTAGTCTTCCAAGCCATTGACTTCATTAAACTTTTTTTTGTTTGGCATCAGAAATCGAACTCAGGACCTTGTGCTTGCCAGGCAGGCGCTGTGCGCCTGAACTATATCCCCGGCCCTCGTTTTTTTTTTTTTTTTTTGTCTTTTTGAGACAGGGTCTTGCTGTGCAGTTCAGGCTGGCCTTGAACTCACATTGTATAGCACAGGCTGGTCTCGAACTCTCAACGATCTTCCAGCCTCACCCTCCCGAGTGCTGGGATTACAGGTGTGCGCCACCACGCCCGGCCCTCCGCAGCCCTCATTAACTTTTTGTGGTGCTTTGTTTGGTTGGTTTTTTTGAGGCAGAAGTAGTCCAGGCTGTCCTCGAACTCGTGGCGATCCTCCTGCCTCAGCCTCCCGAGTGCTGTGGTTACAAAAGTGCACTACCAAATCCGACTTCATTAAACTTTTTATACATGTATAGTTCCTGTAGAATATTTTCTATATAATATTCAAAGAATATTTCATTTGACTTCTTGCCCTTTTTCAGTTGCTAATTTGCTTAAAATATCCCACTTCAGCCTGGTGTCCTGAAGTTCCAAAGAGACCAATTTTAATATTTCCTAGCTCCATTTCCTCCCTTGTGCCAACACATCAATAAGAAATAAGCAGTGATTAGTGACCCCATTTTGTAGTAGTGGAATAACCTGGGCTCCTCTGCAGGGGATGAGTGTTTTGGATTCGAACGCGCGGCTCGGATACCCACCGCAGCCCTAGCGCCCTCGTGCGGCAAGACTGGCTAGGAGGACTACATTTCCCAGGAGACCACCGCGAGCCTGCGCATGCCCAGAGTCAGAGGGCCGCGCGAATTGCTAAGCGGATGGGGAGTCGGCGAGCTGCTGACAGCACCGTCCGGGAAATGCCGGGACTGTTCCAGGGACTCAGGGTGCTTGGGACCGCGCGGGGTGGAGGTGACCTTGGTTCAGAAAGTGAGTATGGAAGTGGGGACGCTAGGGCTGGCGCCGTACTCTGGGGTCCAAGTCTTCGGTTGTTCTTGGGGTGATATGGAAAGTTTGGAGACTGGGGTCCGCCTTTTCTCTCCAATACTGGGGATTAAACCCAGGGCCTTCAAACTGAGCTCCATCCACAGCTCTTTTTATTTTTTATTTTCAGACAGGGTCTCACTAAGTCGGTAAGTTGCCCAGGCTGGGCTTGAATTTTCGATCCTCCTGCCTCAGCCTCCCGGAATGCTGGGATGACAGGCACGCTCGACTGACGTCTGGTTTGTGGCGTCTTAGGCTTTGGTGGTAATTCTGAGTGCTGGATCTGAAGTCTTGATTTGGTGTCTTGGATAGTAGGTTCGGGGTCACCAAATTAGGGAATCTTAAGTCTGGAGTCCTGGGACCAGCATCCGGGTTCGTAAAAACTGTGTGCCCAGCCTGAATTTCACATTTCGGGGCCAGAGGACTCTGAGGAGCCAAGGCTGGAGTGAACAAAGTCCACCTACGGGGCAGAGTTGAGAGTGACAGGTACAAGGGACACCCTGGGGTTTGCAGCCTGCCAACCCACTACCTCACCTCTGTCCCCATCTGTGCCTCAGTGTGCTCATCTGTAAAATGGAGACCTCAGGCAAGCATGGCTGTGCACACCTATGATTTCCAGCACTCCGGGAGCCTGAGGGAGGAGGTTCCCTAGTTCAAGCCCAGCCTGGGAAACTTAGCACCTTCATGAGATCCTGTCTCAAAAAAAAAAAAAAAAAAAGGATAATTGGGTGTGGTGGCACATGCCTATAATCTCAGCACTCAGGAGGCTGAGGCAGGAGAAATGCAGGGAGAGTTTGAGGCTACCTGGGCTCCATAGTGAGACCTTGTCTCAAAAACAAACAACACACACACACACACACACACACACAGGGTTGGGAATGTAGCTCAGAGTGAAGGCTCTGAGTTCTGTCCCTGCAAGTAAAGGGTAGTGGGGGGTGGAGCCTAGCATCCCATCAGGGCACGCTGGAAGTTAAATGACGCCTGTGGGGACAGCAGCAAAGAGCCTGGAAGCCTGCAGTTCCGGTCTCTGTCTTTCAGCTCGGAGATGACAGCCTGAGCCTGGGTTCCAGGCATGGAGTTCCTGACAGCCCCCCAGCCCCCCTCAGGGCCTCCAGCCATGGACTTGGAGGCTCTTGAGCCGGCTGAGGACCCCACCCCTGACAGCCCATGGGACCCACTGCCTGGAGGCCCCGGCAGCCTGAGTGAGATGGAACTCGACAGATCAAGTGTCCAGGACTTGGTGCGGCAGTTCGAGGCCCTGCCGGGTGACCTGGCAAGCCTGCCTCCAGATAGCGCCCCCTGCCCGCTGCATATCGCTACAGGTCAGGGCCTGGCGCCCCAGGAAGTGGCCGCGGCCCCCGGGCTGCTGTCTGCTGAGGCTGGTCGGGACGACCTGCTGAGCCTGCTTCGGTGTGAGGAGTGCCTCCCGCCTGAGCCCTGTCCCCACCGGCCCCTGGAGCCAGCGCCTCGCCTGCTGCAGCCCCCAGAGGGCCCCGGTGTGGAGCCTGCAAGCCCTCACTGGGCGGAGCAAGACTCTGCTGAGCAGGGGGACAGTAGCAGCTCGAGCAGCTCCCCTGAGCCGTGGCCAGAGGTGGCCCCTCTGGTGACACCTGAAAAGCCACCGCCGGCTGGTGCCCAGGTAGCGCCTGCCTCCTCCAAGCGTTCTCTGCAGCCTGGAGCCCGGCACCGGGACTCAGCCCGGCCCCTCTTCTGTCTTCTTCCAGAGCCCCGAGACCCTGGCTTCGTGCCCCGCCCACCAGGAAGGTGAGTGTCCCTCCCACCCCAGCCCGGGACTCGGGTCCACACAGCTGGAAAGGGCGCCCAAGGGCCGCTCCCAGTGTGCCAACAAGGGCAAAGTTCTAGAGAGGCTCAGGATGGTTCCTGGCGGATTCCAGATGGCCTGCAAGAGATGCTCCAGGGAATGTTCTGGAGCGAGACAGGAGTCAAGAGTGGTCTTTGACAGCACTTGGTTCTAGAATATCAGTTGGCAAAAGATCATCTGGTAGGTCAGATCCAGCCCCTGCCGGCCCTAGCAGGCCTCTGGAACTGAGAGTGGCTTTCATAGTTTTGCTTAGTTTAAAAAATCATGGTGGTGCATACCTGTAACCCCAGCACCTGGGAAGCTGAGGCAAGAAGGTTGCTGTGAGTTGGAAGCCAACCTGAGCTACAAAGTAAGTTGAAGGGCAGACGGAACTGCATAGTGAGACCCTGTCTCAGAAAGAAAGAAAAGAAAGAAAGA